TTCCCCCGGAGGAGCTGGAGGAAGTGTCTGGAGAGAGGGAGGTCTGGGCATCTTTGCTTAGACTGCTGCCCCCGCGACCCGGCCCCGGATAAGCGGAAGAAAATGGATGGATGCTGAATCAGCATCCATACAATAGGATTTACACAGGTAAAATTTCAGGAATGAGGCTGTAATTGTGCTGGACTGTTGTACTGAAATGATAATCAGCTGATTTGCCCATAACTACCAGTACAGTGTGTCACAGGAGTAAACAGATGGCTTACTAGGCTGTAACGTAAGGCTTTTACTCTGAAATGTAAACAGTGCAGCAATCACATATTTGCACAGCTCCTTGTTTTAAGCAGCTAATGAACTACAGCCTGACATGTCTTTTGTAATAATCCAGAGCCTCAGTGAAGAGTCTCACTGCATAGACTATTAACCCTGCAATCCATATTCATTTAAGTTGTCTGACAAAGCTCAGATTTTTTCACCAACAAGGCTATTTTTCACAGAAACACGTTTTCATAAGACAGTCCACAACAACAAAGCAGCTAGTGTGAATCAACAAAACAGTAAGCAGTTTACTGCCATTTGCTTTGTATTGCATCTAATTTTTATTTCTGTATTAATTACTAGGCTGTAGAGTGTGAGATTAGGATTCAAACTGAACGGAGCTGATCACAGACTTTGGGTTCTTCACTTAGTGTATTAGAACATCTGCCGAAACCAGAGCAGAAAAATCAACTATACAAAATCTCCCTGCTAAATAAACTCAGGCTAGTTTCCTTCAGACTATTTCTAATGCTGTAAAAGTTGACTGGCGTTTATATTGGACTGACTGGGAGCTGTGGTCCTGAATCCTGTCTATTGTCTGCACAGTTGCTGCTACTAGACTCGTTGAACGAAACCTTATTATTCATATGAAGCAGGACTTGAAAAATCCAATAAGAAGTTGCAGTTTTTTTTTTAGTTGATTCAACTTTTAGGACAATTGTTGCTCAAACCTAATCTCAAAAACCGACTGGCGATTCAAAGTTAGGAATAAAATAAAATGACATACAAAAAGAAAAATAGTCATCATGTTTTATTTGTAGTTTTTAACAACAGCAACATTTACAGCACATTTAAAAGTCAAGACTTTCAGAATAAAACAGTTCACATCCACAGAACTTCACTGCAGCCTGGTCCTCATCTAGGGTACCCTGCAGACTTTTATCATGGTAGGACATTTAAATATACTTCTAAAACAGCCAGAACCCCCCAGTCTCATCTACAAACTTTTAAATACAATAAAACAGCCTTTTTCTTTAAATCTCTGTAAAACGAGGTACGTACAATCTCATAATAAATACACACATACCCAGTAGCGCAATATTTGAAGTATCATATAAATAGTGACATTTAACCTGAAATAAAAATAGTTTATTTAAAATTAAAACGCTAAAGCTAAAGGGACCATTAATGCCACAATGGCCCCGTCCCATTTAATGACATCACAGAGGGATCAAAGTGGTCAAACGATGCAATCAAAGCACGTTTTTTTCCAACAAATGCCATTTTTATAGGAATCAGGAAGGTCTTATTTGAGAAGTGGATAATGTTCAGTGGAAAAAAGCTACTAAACAGACCTTGGGTTTTTCTCCAAGCATACATTCGACCAGTTCTGGCGCACGTCAATCAACCCACACAGTAGCTGTCCAATCACAGCCCTGTAGCATCTCCACACCCTCAAGTCTACCCACTTCCTTTGCTCATTCTTGACCCCGTCCACTTCCTGTTACCTCTTCATCTTCTGTGGTGAACGGCTCAAACCCAGGAATCCAAGAAACGCCACTTAATGACATCATGCCTCCCCCTCCCCCCCTTCTTTCCCTCCTCCATCCTCCTCCTTCCTCTCTTCCTCACTTCCTGCTTCCTCCTCCTCCGCCTTCTCTTCCTCACTTCCTGCTTCGTCCTCCTCCTCCTCCTCTTCCTCACTTTGTGCTTCCTCCCCCTCCCCCTCTGTCTCCCCCTGTTGGCTGGTCTCAGCAGTATTAATGTGGTCGCAGCCGATCTCCGTCCCTGGGTGTTTACCAGGCTCCAGGTTGTGATCCTGATCCTCATGTGGCTCAGATTTCCTTTCTGTCTCCATACAAAGCTCATGGTCTGGTCCAGTTTCTGGTCCTGTTGAGTCCAAAATTATTGGCTGAGATGGGAGAGACTCCTTCCTCCCCTGACCTGCAGACAGCCCCGGACATTTTGTCAGGACATATCCACACACTGTATTGATGTTTTCATACATTGTGAGGTCAGGGTGTATGTTTACCTGCGGGGGTCAAGACAAGTGCCTGCAGGATGTCCGACAGAGAGACGATACCTATGATACGAGACTCCTCGTCAACAACAACCAGCCTGTGAACCTGAACACAAAGAGGACATTGCTCCAAAGTGGGGATAGTTTTGTGAAGTGGGGACATTTTTGTTACCAGATGTTGCTAAAATTTTAAAGAAAGTGATTGGAGTTTGGTGAAAACACATTTTGTAACTTAGCAGGAAGAGTGTAGAAATGTTCTGACAGCTATCATTAAAATTTAAAGAAAAGTGAATGGAGTTTGGTGGAAAGACCAAGTGAGGACATTTTAGCGATGGAGACAAAAATGATGCCTAAACCAGAATAGGGCATCTGTCTCATGACAATACCTCAGCCTTGACAATGCGGTCCACAATGGTCTGCAACATCTCCAGCTTGTTGCACTTCATCACTCCTTCGAAGTACTGTGATCTGTGTCTCAGGGCCTGGGTGACGGTCACATCCAGGTTGTTGTACGTTTTCTCTGCCGCCAGGTTCTGTTGGCACACACCACACTGAGGTTTGTGTCCTCACACAGCAGCAACAACGCAACTCTGAGCACAAGCAGAGCCTGTACTCACAATGACGTCGAACTTGGAGTAGATGTCCACCACTCGACCTGCAAACAGACAAGATGTTGTAGCTCACTGGTCAGTGCCACAGAGAGTCAGCTGATTTCTGCTGCTTAGACTAGTCCTGCTAGGTTCTCGTGCTACACATAACGCAGACAAAGCAGACACTGTCTTTCATTTTTATGACAATGTTTGTGTTTTTAGGACAATTCGTTTTATGATCATTGTATTTGTGCTTTGTTTTTGTGTTTTTACTATAGTATCAGAATCAGCTTTATTGGCCAGGTGTGTTGGACACATGAGGAATTTGACTCTGGTACATCGGCTCTCAATGTGTATGTACATATCCCAATGCAAGGGGCAAGTAAACAGTAAACCAACATAAGGCTGTGGAATGCTCATTGTGATTTCTTATAGAGTACTTAAAAAAAGAGACCTGTATGCATCTGTATATACTGTACAATGTATATATACACAGGTATTGCACTGGGGTTTATTGTCTAATCATACTGTCGTGGGTCAAGTGTTAATCAGTGTCATGGCCTGGGGGAAGAAACTGTCCCTGTGCCTGGTTGTCTTGGTGCACAGTGACCTGTAATGCCATCCAGAGGGGAGGAGTTCAAACAGATTGTGTCCAGGGTGTGAGGGGTCTGCAGTGATCCTCTCTGCCCTCCTTTTGACCCATGAGGTGTACAGGTCCTCCATGGAGGGCAGGCTCACACCAATGACCTTTTCTGCAGTCCTGACTGTCCACTGAAGTCTGTTCCTGTCCTGTTTGGTTGCTGAGCCAAACCAGACAGTAATGGAGATGCAGAGAACAGACTCGATGATTCCTCTGTAGAACTGTATCAGTAGCTCCTGGGGCAGGTCGAACTTCCTATCCTGGAGCAGGAAGTACATCCTCTGCTGTGCCTTCTTGATGATGGTCCTGATGTTGGATGTCCACTTCAGGTCCTGGGAGATAGTGGAGCCCAGGAACCTGTAGGACTTTACTGCTGATACAGTGCTGCCAAGTATCGTGAGTGGGGGTAAGGTGGGTTGGCTCTTCCTGAAGTCCACTGTCATCTCCACTGTTTTGAGCATGTTCAGCTCCAGGTTGTTGCGGCTACACCACAGGACCAGCTAGCAGTCATCTCCCAAACAGAAGGTTGAAGGTTCGAATCTCGGTGCCTGCAGTCCACATGTCGAAGTGTCCTCAGGCAAGACACTGAACCCCCCCAAGTTGCCTGTTATGGCGGCGCATATGCACGCGGCGGCCCAGGGCCCCTAGGCTCCAAACAAAATTTGTTGTACGTGTCACAATGTTACAATGACAATAAAATAAAGCTCCTTGAACCTCCCGTCTATAGGCTGACTCGTCACCGTCTCGGATGAGAACAATGACCGTTGTGTCATCTGTAAACTTTAGGAGCTTGACAGAGGGGTCCTTTGAGATGCATTCGTTGGTGGAGAGTGAAAACAGCAACATCTTGTGTGCTGATGGCAGTTTAGTGTTTTAAAGTTTGCTAGCGGAGTAGTGTGTTCAGAGAAGAGATCAGTGACTCCCTTCAGACACTAACGGCTGTTCTCAGCCTGTGGAGCAAACAAACAAACAAACACACACGGAACAAAAACATAACCTCCCTGGCCGAGGCAACCGCTGTATGGATTCACACACATTACTATGAGTACACCAAAGTTATTGTTCCACAGGTGTCTTCTGTCGCCGACTGTTACCGTTGTGGTCGACGACGGGCAAGGCTGACACACGACGGTGTGTGAAGACCGACAGCGCCGTGATGAGCGGTGTGTCCGGGTGGATATAGGCGATACTGGAGTACGTCCCCACTCCGAGCTCCTCCAGAGTTTGCTTCATGAACCCTGGCATGGGCATCTCACACACCTGACGCACACACAACGACATCAGTAAGAGCTAAAGATAATCCATCCATCCATTATTATCCAGTTACCTGGGGTCAGGTCACGGTGGCTGAAGATAAATGTTAATTAATACAGTCAGGTTTATGGCCTACCCACTATTTACAATAAACATAGCTTAGCATAATGACTGCAAACATGAAGAAACAACAATCTTGGCATAGTGTACAAACTATAAACAGCTTTTTTTTTTTACCTGTTCCCGTACCCTCTAGTTAGTGTACACATATTTGAGGAGACACTGGGACCAGGTCTGACCCAGTCCCCACTTTGGACTGGATCAAAGACTCACAAAGAGCTGCAGAAACTTGAGTATCCGCTTGTGTGTCAGGATGTAGAGAGCATTGCCGCTGAGGGGGTCGATGACTGGGAGACGGTGGATCTTGTTCTTGATCAGTGAGTGGACAGCCTCAAATATACTGGGGGAGAAGGAGGGAAGGAAGGATGAAAAATGTAAGGAGTGAGTGAAGGAGAAACAGAAGTTTGTTTTTCATTGTTGACTGTCTCCATTTTCTCTTCCTTTCTTGTTTCTGATGACCTTATTTACTCTGCCCTCATTTTATCTCCAACTCTCCTAATTGTTTCTTCTTCCTCTCCTTGTTTCCATCCCTTTTCCCTGTCTCCTCTACTTGTTTCCTCTCCTTTTCCCCTCTCCTAGATTCTTTTCTGTTACCTTGTCTTCACCTCTCCTTTCCTTGGTCCGTCTCCTGTCTTCTATCCTTTTCTTGTCTTATCTTGTCTTCTCCTCTCTGACCCTTGCATCCTCTCCTCCTTTCCTGGTCTCCTCTCCATTCCTTGGTTCCTTTCTTTGTCTCCTCTCCTCATCTCCTCTCCACCTCTCCTTGTCTTCTAACACATACCTGGCATCAGGTGAGATGTGGACCAAAGGTTTGAATGTCTCCTGCAGGTACACCTCTGTCAACACAAACACACGGGTCACTGTTTAAAACAAACAAACATCTGATCACAGTAGACCAAAATGATTTTCAGTACCTCTCCATGTCTCAATCTTGTGCTCCTCCAGCTCATAGATCTGCACCTGATGGAGACAGAGACAGGTCACATGACTCCCAACCAGGACGTGTTTACATCCACAAAACAGTAATTAAATAATTTTATCATATACAGTGGAAACAGGGCAACAGCTCTCTTAGCTTAGCAGAAAGTGCTACCATGGGGGATTTGTAGTATCTGGTCAGGATGTTGATGAAATCTGTGATGGTCAACATCCCTAGAACACAGGCAGGAAATAAGTTAAATGCAGAGTTGTGATGGCAAAGTGTGCACAAGTGATAACTAGAGATGTCGTGGAAAGAGTCAGTCGTGGCTGTGAAGCTTTGGGTTGATGCGGGAAAAAAAGCATACAGGAAACACAAGGGTTAAAAATTTTAAAACACATAGAAGCTCTTACAAAAGAAAACATCATAGACGCTATTCCAGAATCCTCATTTTTTTAAGATGCCCTCAGTATCACAGTAAATACAGTGATAGTTAGCAGTACACAAAATAGTACGATGACATTCAGATTTACTTACTGTTAAAGGCATCAAGAGGGATGTCATTACAGCCGTTGTTTGACTGTCTGACAGGCTTGAAATCATGGCTGGCACTTAACTTTTTAAATCTCTAAGTGTTTATGTAAGCTTGATCTGTTTCTCTTCTCTTGCTCAAGCAAGAATATCTTGGGCTGTGTCCCCCTTGTTTAACTTATGGGTAAACATCCCGAGTGACTTCCTCCTTAGATGGGGAATGGACATAGCTGCAGCCTTATGTGAATTGTTCATGTGCTCTGTTCAGGTTTAGAAAAAGGAAATGTGCACTAGATCAATGCGACCTAGAAGTTCGGGTACTGGACATCTTAGACAATGCTCGGAAGAAGGGGTGTAGAGCTGACATGAGACTCTGGCTCAGGCCATAGAAGGCTGTGTAACACCTTTGACGGACTGCTGTTTCCTGCCTCTGCGGTAAACTGTACTCATTTCCTGTTTTCTGTACTTGCACTGCATTGTGCTTGCTTCCAGACTGTTTAGGAAATAAACTCACTATTTTCTAGGTTCATCTGAATTTTTGAGTGACAACATACGCTTGCGCCGCTTAAGCACTTGTGTTGCAGAAGTTCTTGCTAACTACCAAATTTAACTTGCTACTTTAGGTCGGCTAGTTTAGAAGCTAGCTAAGCTAGTAGCTTAATTGAGAGCAATGGCTTCCCCCTCTTCCTCTCCTCCTTTCTCTTGCTCGGAGTGTCACATGTTCAGTTATTCCTCTGCCTCCTTTAGCGATAATGGTACTTGTAATAAATGTCAGATGTTAGCAGCATTGGAGGTGAGGCTTACAGACTTAGAAGTGCGGCTCCACACCATGGAGAATAGGCAAGCTAGCTATGCCCATGTAGCCGGTGTGGAGCCTCCTAGACGTAGCTTAGCCCAAGCTAGCCGCCCCCCACAGCTTCCCGAGCAGCCGGGATCTCAGACAGGTGGCTGGGTGACAGTTCGCAAGAGTCGTAGCTCCAAACGAATGTCCACGGAGCATCACCTGCCTGTTCACGTTTCAAATCGATTTTCCCCACTCAGCGACACACCCGCTGAGAAAACAACTCTGGTAACTGGAGACTCCATAGTCAGAAACATGAAGCTAGAGACACCGGCGGCCATAGTCAAATGTTTTCCTGGGGCCAGA